AATCAAAATATGTTGTGTTTTCTATATGGTATTTGTTTTGTAGAAATATAAAACGATTTTCTATAATTATGCATATTTTTAATTTTTGATTATATACATTCGAAAATCGTCGTTCAATCTATTTATTATTTTTTTTTCATTTCTAATCCGTAATCATTAACAGATGGAAACAAATAATAAAGTGTGATAATTTTCGGGATATTTAATAAATTTTATATATATTTCGATATATTTAAAATTTAATAAGAAAATCAATATACATTTATTAAAACAAATAGTTAAAAAGACTCTAATGAACAATGGCTATTAAGTGAGTTTATTAAAAATTTTATTTTATTAAATACTATTCATCTTATAATTTTTCGAACACAAAAATACACACTTTTAGATTATTTTTCTGATTGTAAATATTCCCCATTGCGTTTAATAAAACGTTCCAGTGTTCTGGAAGTGCCAGGATATTTCTAGAAAAGTCTTTTACCTAAGAACATAAAGACACTCATGTAATGCCTCCTTTACTTCATCATGGTCGGACTTGGAGATCGATTCTTTTATATAATACAACTAGATAATTTTGTATATTCAAGAAATAACGCGATAAAAAGTATTCAAGGTTTTTAGTTGACACATTTAATAAAAAACAAACGCGTAAAAAAACGCTTTAATGAAAGACAAGACGCAGAAATTGGAATTAACGCGTATAGTTAAATATTATTCAAAATTCTTGCTTTAAATCTTGTCCATTTTAGCTCCTTATACGTACATAATTTTTATAAATACATTATATAATGAAATAATATTTTTAAATAATTAAAAAGTTTTATTAAAACACATGCAACCGGTGGCTTTCCGTCCATTTTCATAACGTAATGAATAAATGTAATATAAAATAATTAGAAATTATAATATAGCATACAAGTGTATAATATGATAAAATATAAATAAAAAGAAAACTTTTATAATTGTGATATTATCAATATAATATATCAATTAACTAAATAAGTTGTAAAGTATCCTAAATAAATAAAATATGTAAAAATCAAATAAAAAATTATAATTAATTTAAAAATATATTGCTCTGAATTTTGTTTAATGATGCTGCAATAGAACTCTTAATGTTATTTAATAATATTAAATCATTTTTTTGTTTCAATTATAGATGGCCTTCTTTAAAAGAACACTATGACATTATGTCTAAGACTTTTAAAGACCGTATAAAATGCAAATCCAAGAAAAAATTATAAACTTTATAAAATTAGGTATCAATTATAGGAGACAATTTCAAAAATACGTGTCTCAAATGAAATATGATCATTATGACGATGAATCAATCGATAATTGTGTGCAATTCGAACATATATTTCCTTCTTATTTAGAAGACAATAATTATGAAGAATTCAAATATTGTAATCGAAGATTCACCATATTTTCTTTTTACAACGATGAGCTTAAAAGCTTGCTCACACATTCTCCACGGTAAAATTCTTAATATATTTTGTAGTGCTAACATCTTTATAGATTATGTTCTTGCACAGTTTTAATATGTAAATTTTTCAGAACTGGTTGCGATTTAACCGAAAGATATTATCACGAGAAACTATTTAACTATATAAAGAATTCTAGAATAAAATTAAGCTTGGGCAAATTTAAGACTTTACCTGATAGAGCACGGCTTATGGAATGGATTGCCTTTAATGTAGCACAAACTTTACAAATCCAAAAGGATGTAACTTACGCGTACGTAGTAGAATCTTTGGATAATATTGCACGAGAGGTACAAAATTATCTGAAACAAAAACATCCAGATCATTCGATATTTTCGACGTCCGCTGAATTTTTTTCTTATTGGAAAAACAATAATATAGACGATAATCACTGGAACGAAGCGGAAGGAATTCAGATTATCGATGCATTAGACGAATACATATTTCGCAAATTAAAATTTCGGCCGTGCGAAATAAACGATACAATTCTGGAATTCATGTGTATAGAGATAATGTAAGTTATATAATGTTATTATAACTATATGTGGCGTCAGAAGAAGAAAATCGTACTGTGAGCATGGCCGTTTGTTTGTTTATATATTAAAAATACTGTCATTCTCTCATTAATTTATTGCAATTTCTGACATAGGTACTAAAAAGTAGATATGGACAAGAAGTGATTATATTAATAATATATCACAGCGTGGCAAGAAGACTTGGTCTACGTTCCGACATTGTGGCATTCGGTGAACGATTAGAACTATCTTACTGTATACATTGGAAATCCAGATAGTAAGTAGTATAAAATTAAATTTGGAATTATTGAAATCTTTTAAAAAATATTTCTACACATACACAGGTGTGCATAATAGATAAATAATATGTTTGCTTTGCAGTGGCACGATTAATCCAGCAAATGAAAGATGTTTTAGTGTAATGTTTAACAAATTCCCGGATTGTCGTGTCAATAAATCAGCGTATCAGAAGAGGTTGCAAAATTTATATCGTAATGATTTTTTACCGTGCAACAGATTAGGTCGAATATCACCATGTGAACTGCGAGACAGGATACTGCTAAGATTTGCGGATTTGACATACCATTATAACAACATTTCTCAGATTAAGGAGCGTAAAAAAATTTATTTATTTAAAACAAGTAGCTTTGAAGTATGTATGCACTATACACACAGCATTAATTAAAATATATTATAATAGTAACAATAAATCTCTTTTCTTTCTTTTGACAGGTACAGCTATATACATATGAGTTATAATTATTTATAATTTAATAATAAGAATAATTAAATATGCTATAAATATATATTTAAGAATTAAATGGTAAGAATTATAAATTAAAGTATAACATTATACTTTCAGGTCAAAGAACTTTGTTTAAAAACAACAGGGCAATTCATTAGAACAAAAAACGTAAAATTTGCGGTAGGAATGATCGTAACACATCATGATGATTGCAATAATTGCGACGGCGTCATAATCGGATGGGATCGTCATACAGACAGACGTTATGAAATTTTGACAGATAATCCAAATAACGCCAGATGGCGAAATAATTCAATGCAAATAGACTACTTGCCTTTGAATCATTGTAACAATTATCAATTTACAGAACAGCAAACAAATTATATTATTCTTACCAATAATAATAAAATATGTTACGTAAATGAAGGTATGAATACATTATATATCATATTAAACGTGTTGTATTGAAAATTATATATTCTTATATTCTACGAACATTTTATTTCTTTTATAATTCGATTTTTTATTGATTTCACAGTTATAAATACATTTTATTTATTAATTTGTTTTATTATTTATTTTACTTTTCGTACAATGTTTCTTATTTGCATTTTTTAATTTTAGGTAATCTCACTTTAGCAGCGCCGAAATGTATTGATAATTCCGAAATTGGTCGCTATTTTTGTAAATTCGAAAATACGCATTACGTACCAAATAAAATGCTAACGAAACTTTACCCGGAAGACTCCGCTCTAATTACATAGAGGACTAAATCTGCGAATTAATATTATGAATAACATTATGCAATGATTAGAAAAAAAATTTTTTTTAATTTTATATTTTAAGACTAAATATTATATAGTAGAAACTATGACATTATTATAGTGTATAGGTGGCTTTCCGTCCATTTTCATAACGTAATAAATAAATGTAATATGATATAATTAGAAATTAGAAATATAGCATACAGGTGTATAATATGATGAAATTTAAATAAAAAGAATACTTTTTTTAATTGTGATATTATAAAATTATATCAATTAATTGAATAATTTGTACAGTATCCTAAAATATAATGTAAAAATCAAATAAAAATTATATTTATTATAAAAATAAATTGCTCTGAATTTCGATTAATGATGCTGCAATAGAAATTTAATATTATTTGAAAACTTTATTAAATTATTTTTTGTTTTAATTTTAGATGGCCTTCTTTAAAAGAATATTGTGACATATTGTCTAACAATAAGACTATTAAAGATCGTAGAAAATGCAAACCCAAGAAAAAAATTATAAACTTTATAAAATTGGGTATCAATTATACGAGACAATTACGAAAATACGTGTCTCACATGAAATATATGCATTATCACAATGAAACAATCGATAATAGTGTGCATTTCAAACATATATTTTTTTCCCATCTTGGAGACAGTAATTATGAAGAATTCATATATTGTGATCGAGGATTCTCCATATTTTCTTTTTACAACGATGAGCTTAAAAGCTTGCTTACACATTCTTCACGGTAGGATTCTTAATATATTTAAAAGAAATCAAAAAATTTTAGTTAAAAAAACTGGGCGCGCTGCTAAGTTTCAAAATTACAATGCACCTTAAAGTAACATTAATTAATTTAAACACAAAACATATTTTAATTGTAATGAGTTTAAAAGTAACAATTTAATTTTAATATTGTTAGAATATTATTTAGCAGCGCTCCCAGTTTTTTAACTAAAATTTTTTTATTTCTTTTTCACATGGCGCATGGACTTGGCATCTTGTTTATCTTTTTTTTTAAAAGATAAGTTTTTTTATGGTACGATTCTACATTTGCAAATTTAAATTTTTACTGATTCATTATACGACTCTATATATGTCTGCAACTTTAATTTTCCACTGGTACAAGTTTCTACTTTCACTTGGCGCAATTTTTTTTTTATTTCATTACTTTTGTTACGATTGTACATGGGTTTATAATCGATAATTTTTCATACAATTCTATTGTACATGGGTTTGCAATGTAGGATTCTACATAAGTTTGCAATGGATAATTTTTAATACAATTCTACATGGGTTTGCAATGGTTAATTTTTCATAGGATTCTACATGAGTTTGCAATGGTTAATTTTTCATAGGATTCTACATAGGTTTGCAATGGGTACGATTCTACATGGGTTTGCAATGGTTAATTTTGCCTAGGATTCTACATGGGTTTGCAATGATTAATTTTTCATAGGATTCTACATGGGTTTGCAATAGGATAGGATTCTACATGGGTTTGCAATGGATAATTTTTGTTAATGGCGTGCCCTTAACTGGTCGCCTTTTTTTACCTTTTTTTAAAGGTGAGTTTTTAGAGATTATATCATTCATTTTTGTATATTTTTTATGACCGAATAGAACAATTATTAAACATGTTTATCTAAACTTCTTTGCTTAAAATGATGTGTACAATCATATCCTAGAATCCTGATCATTCCTCCTAAAGCACCCTATTTATATAAATTTACCCATATGTGTGTGTGTGTGTGTACTAATGTCGAGCATTTTTTATACATTTTCTATTAAATTTAGATAAAAGTTGCAGGATTTCGAAAAAGAAAAAGTTGACACAGACTTTTTCCTAAACGGCGATTTTCAAGGTTATTTAAAAGTCACTTATATTTTCAAAATAGAATTACCTTAATTTTTCTCATATAAATCGATTCCTCGCAATATTTACTATAAAAAGTTGTAAAGGTATAATTTTATGTATCTACATAATCTTACATAAACTTCGAAATATTACAAATATTTTATTTTATGAAATATTTTAGTTTATGTAAAATTATGTTAACTATCTTTTAAATTATTCACTTTTAGCCATCTTACCCTTACAACCTTTTATAGTGAATATTGCAACAAATTGGTTTATATATATAATATATATATAACATCAGTTATTATTAATTGATGTTTACATTTATTTTAGACTTACTAGAGCTCAAATGCTCCACATTTTTTGCAAAAACTGTTTATTCTACAGATTTCAAATATGCTTTTAAATGATGATTGAATATTTCCTTTTTTTAATTATTTTTATTATTATTTTCAATCTCAATCAACTTTTATAACTTTATGCCAGCACGATACAAATACATGTGTCTTTATTTTTTTATTATTTTCATTATTATTTTTCAATCTCAATCAACTTCTATAACCTTATGCCAGCAGGATACAAATACATGTATGTCTTTATTATTGTATCAACTCTTGTCTTTTCCATGTAACCATGTCTTCATAGTTTGAATTATCCCTTCATCTTCTCAATCTTTCGCAGAGATTTAATTAATTAAATACACTTCACACGAAATAAAGTTTGCTGGAAGATATACAGCAAACGATAACTGTAAAAACATGATTACGTGGAAAGAACAAGAGTTGGTACAGTAAAGGCAAGTAAGTAAGTACATGTAATGTATCGTATTGGCATAACGCTATATCCGCGGAGCAGATAATGTGGCTGTAGAGGTAGTCTGCAGTGCAGCTAATGTGGACGTAGATGTTGATTGAGATAATTGTCTAATATAAAATAGAATTTAAAAATTTAGTTTAAAAAGCTGTTGCATATATAAATAAAGTTTATTTTTTCTAAATTTGGAATATGTTTAATTAATTAATTTTTTAAGTCTATGTTTAATAAATTTTTTAAGTCTGTATTCAATAATTTTATTCATTTGATAAATACATGTATGTCTTTATTTTGATATGTTTAATATAATTAGATTGTAAACTATAAATTCATATATAATATTTTGAAAATATATGTGAATATTTAAATTTTTATCTTCTCCTTCCTCTCCTTCAATCTCTTTAATATCAATATGTGTATGTGTGTACACGCGCGCACATTTGTACGTATTTATTTAATTATTGGATAGTTGAGAGTACTTAATTGATAAAAAATTATGACAATAATAATCCTTGTTTTTTTTTTCTTATTATTTACTCAGATTTTTTTGTCTATCTTATAAGATAAACACTTTAGAGATTGAATATTTCAAGTAAACTAATTGTAAGTAAATTTCACATTAATGCATATAGATGTTTAATCATGAATGTACTAAATAAGTACACAAGACGAACAGTGAGTGAGTGAGTGAGAATGAGAGAGTGTGTGTGTGTGTGCGTGTGTGTGAGAAAGAGAGAGAGAGGAGAGAAGAGAGAGAAGAGAGAGTTAGCCAACATAACCCGCACGCTGCCGATCATGAATGTACTAAATAAGTACACAGACGAACAGTGAGTGAGTGAGTGAGAATGAGAGAGTGTGTGTGTGTGTGCGTGTGTGTGTGAAAAGAGAGAGAGAGAGAGAGAGAGAGAGAGAGAGAGAGAGAGTTAGCCAACATAACCCCGCACGCTGCCGATATGGCGGAGCGCCACTATCGCCATCTGTTGTAAAACGTGCGAGATGGACAAAATTACCACTACATGCATCTTGCATGTGTTGTGTACGTGTGATATATGTGTGCGCATGTGTTTATACGTGTGAATACGTGTAGCACGATACTACTATGTATGCGTGGTCGATGATGATAATGATGATGATAATGATGATAATGATGATAATGACGGGGACGTTTCTTAATAGAATTTTTCATATTTCGACTTTGCATTTATATATCTCTGCTTACAAATCACGTAGAGCAGAAATAAAGACACTTTATTATATAATTCGAACTCAATCTATCGATTAAGTCTAGTATAAACTCGATTGCTTCAGCCATTATTGAGGATTCGAAATATTATAAAGACTCAAATGTCCGACTCGCGTTAAGATACACGGTGTCTCCGCTACGCGCCCTTAACTGGTCGTGAGACACTACCGTGTCTCTTGATTATCTGTCAAAATTTCATAACGTCTGTCTGTATGACGATCCCATCCGATTATGACGCCGTCG